CGAAAAAGCGATTTTGTTTCTCGACAATGCACCATCTCATCCTGCAGAAGAAGATCTCATTAACGGGGATATTAAAGTTAATTTAAGTAAATTTCTCCCCCAAATGTGACTGCAATTTTACAAGCCATGGATCAGGGTGTCTTGGAAACTGTCAAGCGTGTTTATCGCAAGGAACTCTTAAGCAAAGTTATCGAAGAAGAAAGCTAACAGAGCCTGATTGATTTGTTACAGCGTATAAACGTCAAAGACATCATCTACATGCTTGCAGACGCTTGGGATAATGTAAAAAAAATCACTCTTAAAAAGTCTTGGAAAAAATTGTGGCCAAACAAATGCCTTATAATGATTGCTGAACTAATGATGGTAAAACGTTTACGGGATCGTGTCGCATTGAAACGTCATACAAAATTAAAACAAAGGAAGATCAATGACTTTTTTGTAAATAAAAACTAATTCTCACGTAAATCATATAGGGTGTAAATATAGTAAGTTATCATTTCACATGTAGTTTTATTAACCTTATTATATTTCCGGATTTTCAATTTACCGTATCGCTTCCGGTCCCAGTTAGTCCGGTTAAACGAGGTTGTACTCTACCGACTTTTACAGTTGATTCTACAAGGCAAGATTGAGGGTAAGAGAAGCCCTGGACGTAGGCGTATATACTGGTTGGCTAATCTTAGGAAGTGGACTGGTCTAACGCCAACTGATTTATTTCAAGCTGCTATGAATAGAATAAGATGGGTCAATGTGGTCGTCAACATCTCTAGAAGAAAGGCACATTTAAAAGAAGTATCTTAAAAACGTAAATTGAAATCGAAGAGTCAAATAAACTTATTTTAGTAGATAACAAAGAAAAAATCTTATTGCTGCAGCATTGTCTGTAAGAGAAAGAATAAATTTCACTAAGAAAATAAACCGTGATGACAAGGAGAAAATGCGTAGCGATCGAAGCTAATAGACTGGAAAGGGAATAACATGCATGAAAGGAAACCAACAAGAAGAAACACTGAAGGGAACTGTAGTGGGACGTTGAAGCAGAGCGAATTTTGACTTTTACCTTTTTTCTGCCTTTCAAAAACTCAATCAAGCATTGAGTGCCCTTAAGACACAAAGAGCCTTGAGTACCTTCAGAAAACTTTCAGTAAATTGGAAGATGGTATGCATAATTGTATTGTAATTATATGTATTTGCATAGATAATTGTAAATTGTATTAATTCTAAAAAGAAGAATCGACACAGCCATTAAACAGTCAGAACTCTGACTCTCTGAATAGACAGGACTGACCAGAAATAGCCAGTTCAAGGATGCCGCAAGTTTAGGTTGGGCTTATGTCCAGGATCAGGGGCAGATTCATCCTGTTGTATAATCGATCGAGTTCTATAACGCATCGTTGTGGAGGGCAGCAATCCGATCATTTTTAATACAGATAACTCATTCATTCACACAGAACAAAAAACATTAACAAAACTAATGACGAAGGTAATAATTGTTGCAATCTCCATCCTACTCAGCAGATTTACTCCATGTATTGAAATTTCATCAACAATTCATCACTAAGAAATGATTTTAATCGAAAAAAGAGGTAATAGCAGCAATGAAACTGCATATTGACATCCTTCCAGATTTTTACATCAAGAATGGAGTCCGTAAATTATAAAATTACTAGAAGAATTGTATTGAAGATAAGGCAGATTATATTGAATCATAAAATGTGTTTCAAACCATATCGAACAACAAAACTTTCTTATTGAACAACTCACTGAATTGAAAACATAACCTAACCTAACCTAAAATGTATATTAATTAGCGTTAATTTTAAGCAATTATGTAAATAAGCGCATAATTTATACATTTTTAAAATTAATAAAAGTGCTTTTTGTCCAATTTTAAAATTATCTACTTACATGATTAAATATTTTTCATGATATAAGAAAAAGTAGTATACAGTGCGTTAAGTTTTTGATTAGGTATTGCACACTATACAGAGCGCTAAAATCGGCAACGTTGCAAATGTTCGTTCTCCGACCCGAAAATCTACACCGATAGAAAATCGTTTATTTTAGTTTAGTAACTCACAACAACGTTAGGGATGTACTTCTCTGTCGTCCGATCTCATGTTTCATTACGTAAAGCCGATTTTAATAGTAGGAAATTCGATAAAAATGCACTGACCTAATCGGTGCATTGTTATCGATTTTTATTAATGTGAAAATTTTTTTGTGGTTGAATTAAAATAAAAGGGTATTTCTTTAAAAAGATAAAATAAAAATATACTCTTATTGAAAATTAAAATATTATTCCTAATAAAATAAAAAATAATTCTTTTATGACCTACAGAAATGGTTTAAATAGTTGACCTTCTACGGCTGAACAGTACCCAATCTGTCATAAAAACTTCTGCGAACAGATGAAAGAATTTCTGCAGTAACAGAATTGGAGACTTCTCTTATTCGATTTTTTAATTCATCCAAATTTTGGGCTCTAGCCTCAGGATGAGCGTAGATAATGCTTTTTAAATGTCCCCAAAAAAAGAAGTCCATGGGTGTAAGATCTGGAGATCGCGCAGGCCACTTAATATCACCTGTTCCACTGATAACTCGATTCGGGAAAGTCTTGTTTAAATACTCCCTAATAATTCGAGCGCTGTGAACTGAACAGCCGTCTTGATGAAACCAAACATTCTCCAGATTTACATCAGGAAGATTGAGAATAGCGGGAAGAACATGATTCTGTAACATATCGAGGTATACTCTATTCAAGTTGCCCTCAATAAAAAATGGACCTATTATGTGGTCTCCTAAAATGCCAGTCCAGACGTTAACTTTTTGAGGACGTTGAGTTCGGTAAACAACACTTCTGTGCTGGTTTTCCCGCGCCCAATACCTCGTAATGGAAGGATTGTGTCTCCCTACTAACGAAACAGAAGATTTATCAGTGAATAAAATGTTTTTAATAAAATTTGGTTCACTATTAGCCTTCGTTATTAGAGTTTCACAAAACTCCATTCTTCGAAAGTAATCGTCTGGATAAAGCTGCTGCGTTTTCGAATATTTACAATTCTTGTAACCGTGCTTTTTCCATATTTTCGTTACAGTAACATTGCTAACATCTAACTCTCTAGCAACGCTTGTACTAGAACGTGTTGAATCTACCTCGATTGTTGCACAAATTTGTGTATCCCATTATTCTCTTTCCTCAACTTTTTCTAGTAACACTTCTCGAGCGTGACATTTTCTGCAATTTTTGAGGCAATAACAACTCTCAAAATTTTTAATAATATTATAAATTGACTGTACACAAGGAATTGGTCTTCCCTGAAAAAACACAGAAATAAATCTACACACTGTTGCGCAGAATTGCCACTATAAAACCATTTTATTATTTGAGCTTTTTCCGCGGCCATATAAACAGACATGTTTACAAAAATAAATTAAAACTCTACGCTGTTATACCTTTAAACAACCACGGTATAATGACAATATGACATATTTGCCGACGGGCGATGAGCAACGACGAGTCAACGAAGCAGATACGTAGTGCAAGTCGACGACGCGCAGTGTTGCCATTTATAGAGTGTATACCTAATCCAAAACTTAACGCACTGTATAAGAGAATATGGCAAAAACATGCATATTATGAAATAAGTTCTATATGATGACGTTTTGAATTCCAAAGTGGAAGCCTTTATCAGAACATATTTCGAATATGATTAGTTTAAAATTTGTATGATATTTTCAACACATATTTAAAAAATCAACAAAGAGGAAGTTAGAAAAACAGATCTGGCACTCGTATTTAAAAATACTTGAAGAAATATATTTTGCTGTTAAATTAATATAAAACGAACTATGGAAATAAATAATTTTTTATACAATCTGTATTGTTACTATACACCCAATTTTCTCCTCAAATATCTGTCAAGCAAGATGTCAATTTTATTGTCATTATTTCACATAAGATGTCACTTTTATTGCCATGTCAGGCAAAATGTAACTTTAGTTCTGTAACTCTTTTTTGCGCATATTCTCTTTCAGTATTTTCTTTATTTATTTACTTTATACTTTGTTTGTCATGTGTATTAAATAAATATTGAACACCAAGAAAATAAAATACTACTAATTTTGAGTCATATTTAATTCATAGGTTAATTTACATGTTTGTGGGTGTTTAAAGGTTGTGCAATAAATATGTAAAGGAAGTTGTTTTTAATATTACAAGAAAATAGTAGCTAATAACCTCGAAGATAACTAACTACTCTATTCTAGCTCTAAGAGTCAGCAGGCATAGTTTAATAGAAGCAATCATGCAATTATTTAACAGAACAGGCGATGCAGGTACTATATACAGTAATTCAGACATATGCAAGTACAATTCTTTTGTATTTTAAAGCATTTGTAACTATTTGCACTGAGCATACAGAAAATGAGGAGAAGCTGACAGAAGAAGACCTCCAGTGCTGTTTCAAACAGCAGATGATTTGCATGGAGCGATCTATTGAAAGGGAAAGAGGTGTGATATATATTGAAACTGATAATCTCAAATATATTTAATTCAATCAATATAAAAGTTTGGGAGTCACACTTGAGCTATATTTTCTACCATGTAAGACCAATTGCACATATAGTAAATAATAGTGTAAATTGAACTGTGTCTTTAATTACTCTTACCAAGAAAACTTTATTAAAGGTAGAAAGGTAAATATAAAGACAGAGTTTAGAAAATAAAAATAAATAGAGAATAATTGATGGGCTCAACTATTCTTTTTTTACAGACTGTTGATCAATTTTGAGAATTTTAAATGGCACTTTTAAACACAAAAGAATTATAACAATCACAATGTCCAGTTGAATATTATTTGTCATTTTGTGAATTGAAATAAAAGAAGAAACTACATAGTTAAAACAAAAATGGAAATCTAGTAATCATCTAGGAAGCGCCTTAATTCTATTATATAAGGTAATAAGCCTCTTAAGAGTTTTATCAAATTTTTTCTTACGTTTTGCTGGGGTGGTTTGGGTCTCATTTTCTTTGAGTCGATTTGAATCCATAATGGTCTTTTGAAAACCGTTCAATATACGTTCGTTGTCAGGTCCCCTTTCTTTTTCTTTAACTGAAAGTTCTTGTTTTAAATCTGTAACAGACAAAAGACATCTTATTAATATCTAACAAAACAATTGAGATGACTTTAAAACTTTCTGCACAAATAAGTAAATTACTCAAAACCATACCAAAAAAATTAATTTTTATATATTTTACCCAAAACATTTTACAAGAATTTCTGTAGACAATAAACTTAGTTACCTCTAGTTTCATCCGCTAATCTCTGCAACTTTTCTTTCAGGCCTTCTTTTTCATCAACTTCTGATTCTAATATAGCATTTCTTTCCACTGCAGAATTAAAGGCTGTTTCTATACCTGCTATACTTTCTTCTATAATTCTTCTGGCCCTTTCTAGATCATCATTTTTCTGTTCTAAATCTCTAATATACTGGGACATCTGTAGTTTCTCTGTCTTTAAATTCTGTACTTCATTTTGTAAACTACCTATTTCTTTATTACTTTGTTCTAGTTTGTTCTAAAAAAGAACAGTACCAATGAGAAAATGCTGGAATAAACAAAATATATGATACTTACTCTTAACGATTCAATTTCATTCTGAGCTTTGTTATTTGCTAATGTCAGTTCTTTAATCTTTTTTTCATCTTGGTCTATAGTTGCTTCATATTCTCGGTCCAATTGTTGAGATTCCACTATAAATTCATCAGATTCTTTCTGTATTCTCTGGGCTCTAAAACAAATCAATCATTAGAAAATTACTTTATCATTTATACACAATTGTACAGGGCAAAAAATCGTTTCTATGTGGTTCTTTTATTCACTAACTGAAAAATTATTACTAAATTTACAAAAAAAAGTACAAAATGCTCACAGAAAACATATGTAGCACATTGTGAACAAAATAAACAGTTTCTTTAAAGTATCCGGCATAAAAGCACCTCTTTGGAAAACAAATTAAAAATGAGTTCTTACAATTAATAATTAAAAATAAGGCTTAATTAAAGGAGGTATAATGATATAAACCATAATAACACTAACTCTTGTCGATATTCTGCAGCCAAATGCTTCCAGTACAAAATTTCCTCATCTTTATTATCAAATATTGGTTCGTCACTCGTACTCATTTTTGTTGTTTGGTATTATTGTTTCAGAATTAAAAAGTTCATTCCAAATGCAGAATACCTAAAACTAACAGTCGCAATTTAAGTAGTGTTGATTTGTAAATGTCAAATGGCGTGAATCATCTTGCGATATTTAAGATTATCGAAAGATATGTCAGTTTACAAACGTAACTTTAAATGTTAAATTGGACATGAAAAGTTAGGAAAAATACTGTGTTTTGTGTAAAATATTATATTTAATGTAGAAAAGGCATACCTAACGTCAAAATCTTGTTTTCTTTTGATGTTTGACAGATGGCAAGGAGACATATGACTCATTATGGATGATATAATTTGATATTGCCAACACTATAACAAATAATACACTAAAACCAAAGAATATAGACGCTTAGCTAAGCGTCTATATTCTTTGCTAAAACTATATCTTTTAAGAATGGAGTTAGAATCTAACTCAATGCTTTTAAGTTTACAAAGTAGATTATAATATTTTGTACCGTATTTAAATCCAGATATTATAATTTAGGGAATTCAAAACTATAATATTACGACTTTTATAAGACTAATGTTTATTTGTTTAGAATTTATTTTTTAAATATCATGTTCACCAACTGCAAATACTGCTCATTGATTGGCTTTATAGCGGGTTTGTTATACTATTGCCAAATTGATATTTTTTTGGTAAATCTACGGAACCGTTTAAAACCGCAGTTTGATAAAGACTCTTTTAATATAAATATATTATTTAACAAAATACTTTCTTACGTTATCCACTTATTACATAAAATTTAATACATGTATTGTTTCCTTTTTAACTTAACAAACAATAATAAATTAAATAATTGTATTATTCTTATTTTCAGTTGGCATTGGCAACTTTGTAGTCTAAAACATGTGTTTTTGATGCTCCTATCAATCCTATTTTGATAACTTTCTTCTAAGACAAAAACAAACATATTGACCTAGTGAAGAATTTCAATCTAAATATAGAAACAATTATGGCAAGTTTGGTAAAGAGCATTTATGTACGGAAAATACAGCTACTAAAGGATAATATCTTACGAGTAAGTCTTTCATGGTATCTATATAATTTTTTGATTTGAACTGGAAATATTATTTTAATACAAAAGTCCTTTGGCCAGTCTAATAGTTATGCTGACGCTGACACCACTATTTTCATTATCTATTATTTAATTCTGTCAGATACCAATACTCCGGTACTAGGAACCGCCTGCAAAACTAACATAGGCGCCCTTCAGTTTTTTTTTAATTTAATTATATTTATCTTTAGGCAATCGTTTTGTGTTATTTGCATACAACACGATAATGTTCTTTTAACTGCACAGTATTTATTACAAATAATATGATAACTGTTCCGTTTTGATAAAAAATGATAAGCAAATTTTCACAACACAAAACACATTAAAAATCTAATGAAAATTGAAGAGTTACTAACCTTTTTTCTGTCGAAACGGAAGAGTTATCGTATTTATACTATTTAAATAAAAATTATGTTCGGGATCAATAATTTGAGAAAAATTTGCGATATTTTTTTTATAAAAATGTAATTACATATTAAAACAATTTTTAATTCCAAATACTGTGAAATATAAAAGTAGGTACTTTACCCTTGAAATTTATATTTTTTGACATACCTTGTATAAGATTGATAAAATTTGATATCTGATGGTTGCATCTTAGGTTTGAGACCACACAGAGCTTTTAATGTGGAATAATTTTCGTAAAATTAATAATAAAAGAGTTATATGTATAATAAATAAATAAAAATAATGTTTCTCATCAGTAATTTGAAAAAAAAATTCCAAACATTTTTTTTTTCAATACGAAAGATGAAATTACATAAATTTTCATTTTTTAAGAATGCTGTGAGGAATTACAAGCCAAGAAGAGCCCTCATGTATGTACCTGGTAATGATTTGCGGAAAATAAGTAAGATATCTAGTCTAAATGTCGATTGTATAGCACTAGATTGTGAAGATGGAGTTGCATTTAATAAGAAGGTATGGCAAACTAATAAAATAGTGTCTAAGCAGCTTGCATGTGCTTATGTAGATAGATAGACCTCATGAACATTATTCTTCATTTGGGCTTGTTCCAGTATTGGTAAGATTTTAATAGCTAATTTAAGACTAATCAATAATTTATCATTAACATTTGTAAATATTTGGTATTAACACATATATTTCATTAATTAGATAGTCAAACATTATTGCTGATGTTATGTATCCTTGTCTAACTTCTGTTTATTGTACTTATGCATTTTTAATGTAGTTTCAATGTTGCTTTTTGAATCATCCTTTGAATCTTAAAGTGAATATTTTAATGTTGCTTTTTTCAATTTCATTCCTATTTTATTTAATTTCTCATATTACAATTAATTTTTTATCATGGGTGATTTGAAATTAATCTAGCCCTGGATTTTTGAGAATTGCCATAATTGCTATCAATTTTGACAACTGTCATCCAACATATCACTTGTCCGGAGCAACATCTATGCAAGTACACATTACTAAAATGGTTTAAAATTGACTTTTAAAAATATTTTTACAAAAAAGTAAACAAGTTAAATTTTAAATGAATATTTTTGAAACTGAATTATCTTTTTTATTGGTAAATTTAGTCTACTTTTAAATGGCACTCTTAGTGTTTTGATAATATAAACTTTTTGAGTCCACACAGGTCTCAGAACTTTGCAGCCTCCCAGTTGCGTCATTGTTCTTCCAATATTTTTAAAATAGTTACTGAATTGGTTTGAGTTGGTCTACAATAGTAACATTAAAAAAAACTTTAAAAAAGGTTTAGGTATATAATTTTATTGTCAGTAAATAATACAAACTACTCATAATGATAAAAAATAACAAAAACCCTACTCAGAATTACTAAAAAGTAACATTTGTTTCTTTAAAAAATTAAGAAAAACATTCAAAATTCTGAACAACCCATTAAAAAAAGGTTTGTAATATTTGAAAATTGTATTATGTACTTGATAATAAATTTTCTAGGTCCCTTTTCTTATTTTCAGAGATCGGAATTTTTGAAATGTATGCAGGTCTTTTTCTAACATCCTCTACATTTCTTGTTCCTGTCACTCATCTACTTTTTATGGTTATAGCATAGGCCTGATGTGAATCCACCTGTTTGTAGCTGATTTTGTAGAAGAACCTATCACTTTCCTTCTCAAATCAAATCATTTTAATATCTTACAATTTTATTTGTTTGCTGTGTATATTTTTCTAGCAGTTGAAGCCAATGTCGATAGCAAGAGTTTTCAAATCAATGAAGTCATTGTAACTCAATTCTTTTATTATAAAAGAGTTTCCTTTTTCTTTGCGTTTCTAATAATTGACACAATCTGATCCGGAACATTTATAGGTCCTGACTTTTTAGCTTTTTTCATAGCTCTTTCAATGATACTGTGGACTACATTACCTTCGTTCTGTGTATGACCTCGGATGTCTCGGATGATACTTGTGTGTTATGGAATTTAACTGAAACTTTTTAATTGCGTAGTAATACATTGTAAACACAGATCTGTTTTTTTGCTGACCACAGCAGTTATCGGAATAAAGAATTACGTCAGATTGAGGATGTGTTTTAGCAATTTCTTCGAGAAATGTCAGGACACATGAACCAATTTCAACTGCTCCTCTTTGTCCCAGACGTTCATGCTAGAAGTAATAGGATGTCTTGTCATTGTTTGTTTCTGATATCGTAAAATTAAAACAATTTAATCTTGATTTATAGTTAAAAGCTGATGTTTGTCCCATAGGTACTGGCAGGACAGCTTGTAGGTCATACATTACCAAAACTGTATTTGATCTTTCTTCTTTTGCTTTTTCTTTGTCTGAAGCTTTCTCAGTTCTACTTAGTTCTTTTTCCTCTTGATGTGACTTATACTGACATTGTAATTGGTCTTTTTTTTTGTCAGGCGCGTTTTTAAATGATTCACACAAGTTGCATTGGTCTTTCTTTGGGAAAAAGAAACCAATATTAAATTGTGTATTAAATATGTGGGCGTAGGCGTCATAGTTTGCAGCAGGCTGGCCCAAATCGTCTTGTTTCTTTTTATAGTGTCTGTGCATTTCTGCAATGGATACACCACCATCTACAAACTCTCTTGATGTGTTAGCCCTTTGGTAATGGCTCTCTGTACGGGGTATAGATTTTATATGTGACTTTACAGACACCATTATTTCATACAAAGTTCCTTCATAAGAAAGCTTGAACATTCGGTTCTAAAGGAGTATTTACAATGCTACAATTAGTCATTTCAAATCGTTCAAGTATTTTATCAATATACTGTTCTTGACTTAATTTCAATTCAAACTCTGACCTATTTCTCTCTATCTTCATACCCAAACAATGTGTAATTGGACCCAAATCCTTAATATAAAAGTTTTTATCTAATTCATTTTTCAAAACTTTAACCTCATCATGATTATTGTAAAAAACAAAAAAATCATCTACATACAGTGCTACAATAAGGATTGAATTCTCACTATTTTTGACAAAAATACATGGTTCAATTTCACATTGTTTAAAATTCAAATTTAACAAAATTTGGTATGCCCTATTATACCACAATCTCGAAGACTGTTTGAGACCATATATAGCTCTCTTGGGCAGATAGACTTTATTTTCCAAGTCTGGTTCATCAAAACCTTCAGGTTGAGCCATATATATGGTTTCATCAATCTCACTATTCAGGAATGCAGTCTCCACATCTAAATGAACTGTATCTAGATTTAATTCAACAGCCATCGCTAACAAAAGTCTAAAATTACTAAAACGAATGACTGGAGAATACGTTTCTGAATAGTCAACCCCATATTTCTGTGTAAAACCCTTTGCCACCAATCTTGCCTTGTACCTTACTATTTCACCCTTTTCATTTTTCTTTATTTTAAACACCCATTTATTTTGAACAATATTTGTATTTGCAGGTTTGTCAACCAATTCCCAAGTATTATTCATTCTGAGAGCTGTCAATTCATTTTAAATGGCTAATTTCCATTCATGGCTGTGACTACTTGACAGTGCCTCAGAAAGACTTGTAGGCTCAAATTCATTTGACATAGTAAACATGGCAAGATCAGGTACATTTTCCAAATCTTTATCTAACAAACAATCATTATACAATTCTGGTTTATTTCTAACACATGTAGGGTACCGCTTAGATTCTTGAACACTATCACTATTTCTTTCTTCTCTATTCACTTCTTGATTTTCACTCGCACTTTCTTCTACACTTTTTATATTCTCAGATTCCACAATTTCACCGACACCACTGTTCACTTTTTCGGAGTTTTTATTCACACTAAAACATTCCGACTGATGTTGGTTCACTGATTGGGCTTTAACTTCAACAATTCGTAGGTTGCATATAACCTCAGGTTTAAATCGTACGTCGTGGCTCGATACGATTTTTCTTTCAGATGGAATCCATATCCTAAAACCATCCCTGTCATTCACATAACCAACTAACTAACCATGTATCGCTTTGTCATCAAATTTACTGCGAAGATTCTTGTTAACGTGAACATCGAAACGTGCCATTTCCACTTTGCCCAGTCTTCAGGACCCTCGAGTTTGTCAACATGAATTTTATAATCACCGATTTTATTCACCGATAATAACAACAAACAAGACTGAATGAAGTACGAACCTAACCTGTTTACAGTTCACACGTGGACTGGGCCCAAAACCTGTTATAATTTAAGTTAGGTGAAGTTTGAAGACATCCAAAGACAAGGCAATATGTACTTTATTTCTTTTTGCCTACAGAACAATACAAAAATTGACTGACAGTAGTTTATATATTTTTTGACATCAACATATTTTTAACTATCAACAATGTCACTTCATAATAGAAACACTATATTATGACAACATCCACTTTTTATGTTGGATATTTTAAATGCCAAACCAAACTAAACATAAATAACTTAATAGCTGTCAAAATGGCCGTTACTTAAAGAAGTGTTGCCAACTTAGATATCTATACCTCTAAAAAACACCCTTTATATAAACATTTAGAAATCAATTAACTTTATTTAAGGTAATTTAAAGAATTTTCTTGCTGATACTTTTTTGATAAAACCATTTCTACAGGATGAAGTTGAAGAAAGAGTTAAAGTAATAGTGAAAAAGCGACAAAAATTCTCAAGGTGGCATTGCTTAGTAAAAATTATACCAATTAGCATTAAAATTGAGTAATAACCCATTCCTCAGATATAACCCCTTGGTACTACTTCCTGGTCCCAAACTTAAAAAAGGTTCTGAGAATGCCACTTTGCAACAAACAATAAGACAATCGCCGAAAGTTCACTCTACTTTGAGGAATTTACCAAAATTAATTTTGGATGGGTTAAAAAAGTTGCAAGAACATCTTATCAACTGTACTAAGAGAAAAATAGATTTTTATGTTAAAATATATATAAAGAAAATAACAAAAATTGTGTTTATTCTTACTTTCTTACTTTTCATTGATGGTATGTTAAATTCAATGTATTTTTGTAAATAAAAAAGGTAATTTTCCACTAATAAGCTAGTTTTACATTTTTTCGTTTTTATCCTAATTTCATTTTATTATCTTGTAAATGTTTTATTAGGATGAAGCTAGGCAAACGATACGAGATTCTTTAGTTCAATTAGTTTCAAATTCTGACATTAAAAGTGATATAGGTGTTCGAGTCAATTCTGTAGATAGTGATATGTGTGAACAAGACTTGGAAGTTTGTTTATCTGGAAAGACGTTACCTCATACTGTATTGTTGCCAAAGGTTGAGGAGAGTGACCATCTGCGATGGGTAAGTCCAAATAGAACATCAAATTTTTTTTTGTTGGATATACTGCAGTCAAATTCAAAGAGAGTGAAATCAAAGACACAGTTAAAGCTATATAGGTTAGATCTTGAATATGATCAGTCTTTTCAGGTTACCTAACGGAACACATTGTTGGTTTCCCTAATAATGTTTTAATTATATTTTAATACAATTTAAATTTGGTTTGTTGGCATCATTTAATCGAATTGCCACAGAAAAATATTTATCTATGTCAAATATTAATTGAATCAAATGAAAAAGACAGCAAATATTTGATCTCACGCAAAAAGCGCCTATGTATCTGTTGATACGTATTTCGACCTAATAGGTCTCATCAGAATAGTTATTCATAGGTGTTCTCAACGTGAAAAATCAATATTTTCTGTCTTTTAAGAAGCAACACTAAAATGGCTTCAATACGGACGCAATAGCGACATCTAATAATAAAATCCGTAAAATAGTGTGAATTGTGTTTCGAAACTATTTTACGGATTTTACTAATTGAATCGTTTATTGTTGAAAGAGGATAAGCGATATTATCTATTCTCACTTCTCACCAGCATTCTCTCTTTATATATACGCATCATTTGGTATTGAAATGAAGCAAGCGCTATGCATTGCATCGATATAATTTATACTTCGAAACTGCATTTAGTGTAGAAAGAAGGCAAGCCATGTCGCTAGCCCCCTTTCAACAACGTAATAAGTAAACATCACGTGGTTTAACGGTTCTTGCTGTGCTGAATAATCGAATCTGTCATTTACATTGTGTATACTTTCTTTGTCCTGTTGTTGTTTGCAAATCATAAAAATGGAAAAATATGTAAATAGTGAACAAACCACAGTAAAACACAGGAAGGGAGGTGTGAGACATGACAACGAATATAAAAGAAATGTTATAAAGCAGACCAGAATAAAAGGCATTTCATATGCTAATTACAAAGGAAAAACAGTCCCGAATAAAACAATTGGATTATCATGCAAGTAAGTTCATTTTTTATATTAATTTAAATTCCTATCTGCATCGTATGCTTTTTAGATATGTCCCTTAAAATGTTTCACTAAAATAAAAGAGGACGACAGAAATGAAATATTGCACAAATTTTACAGAATAAATACAAAAGATGAGCAATATTTATATCTACAAGGACTTCTAGAAAAACGTAGTGTTGATAGAAGGAGAAAAAATACCACTGAAAATGAAATAATGAAAAAATCATGTACCTATTTCCATTTTGTTCTTGTTGAGAACATGAGGATACGTGTTTGTCAAAAAGCATTTCTTAGCTTAAATGGTGTTTCCAAAAAGAGAGTAGAACGAATAAAAAATTTGTTATCAAAAAACCAAACACCATGTGACAAAAGGGGCCACAATGTGAAGGTTCGTGAAATTCCTTAAGAAAACAATAAGGCAACATGTTGAATCGTTTCCTCTTAAACATACACATTACTCTGGTAAACCTATGTCATATCTCGATGCACGATTGAACGTTAAGTTTATGCATCAGCTTTTTAGAGAAAAACAGCCAGATTCCTCTATAAAATATGAAGATTACCAGAAATATTTTAAGGAACACTTTAACTAACGGTTTGGCCGACCTCAGGTAGATATATGTGGTCAGTGTGAGGAACTTGGAATTAAGATTAAAAGTCCTTCACTTGGTGATGCGGCCAAGCGGACTGCTGCTGCTAAACTAATCGTCCACAAACGTAGAGTCAAAAAATTTTATACGTATCTCAAGGAGGCCGAAGTTCGTAGCAAAACTAATAAAAGTGTATTGGCCTTATCGTTTGACTATATTCAGAACCTCAGTCTTCACAACGTTAAAACCGGTGAAAGTTTCTTTTACATATATCACGAAGGCCAGAGCAGTAAGGGTCCCAACGAGGTCTGTTCTTTCTTGCTGCATTGTACAAAAACTATGTTCCAGATAGTATTGAAGAACTGCTTTTATTTTGTGACAATTGCCCTGGGCAAAATAAAAACAATAATGTAAACAGAATTTGTATGACATTAGTTGAAACGAGATTTAAAAAAGTTGAGTAGATTTATCCCATCAGAGGGCACCCGTTTTTGCCTTGCGATAGGGATTTTAGCACTGTCAAAAAACTTCGACAGAACTTTTCTGTACACGAGTTTACTAAATTGATAATTACGTCAAGTGTGAGTAGAAAATTTACTGGAATGGAAGTAAAAAATTCTGACATTTTGAATTTTAAGAATTGGTGGATCAACTTTTATAAAAGGAATGTCGTTTCTCTAGAGACAAGCGAATGAGGCATACCTAGAAATCAACAATATTTTTCGGTTTCACAGTTTCACCACTTTAAACATGATGCCTCTAAAACTGGTTATCTCAATACTTCCCCCTATATTAAGAGCCCTTTTAATGTTAGCACTTTTCACCTTAAAATGCCCAATGCTGGCATCGTAAGATGGCCGTCAAATAAGGCATATAAGAGCAAGATTCCGATTAAAGAAACCAAAATAAATCTTTTTAAACGGGTGTTAAAATATATTCCAGAAAATCACCAACCATTTTATAATGATATTGTTAATTCGCCAACTACAAAATAAACGGAAAAAAGTTTTATTTTTCTGTAACTTGTTGAAAGGGACTAAGTGGCATGTACAAAAATAACAATTATTCAAAAACAAAAACAAAAATTGACCTTGTTTTACTATAATATAACTTCTTATTAATACTTGATTAGGTTTACTCAGAAACAAATAATCAAAAATAAGTTTGTCTAGCTTAGAATAGTTTTTTGCGTTTTTCTCAAAACTTTTAAAATGTCGCTTGCCTCCTTTCAACAATAATCGATTCAATTTATTATGATGGAACCAATGTTGAACTTTTACAAAATCCTCAACCACTTTGCTTTTAACAGTTTGTAAGCTTTTTTTAAAATTGGGCAGTAAAGAACTCTCTACAAATTGGGAGAATAGACTATAGATATATACGTAATTAATTTCCAATATATATGATCAAGCAACAACATACATTAAAATAGTTGAACAAACGGAGCCTATTAAGATACGGTGAGGAGCCAGACACTATATTACCCAAACTATTCAATCAAGACAAAATGACGGTATTAGATTTTGATTTAATACAGAGCAGCAACAAGTCGCATATACGTATTTCGATCTCTTTAGATCTCCTCAGTACGGTATAGTTACTACTCCATATCAAACCAAAATATTTTCCCGTCGTAGATTATAGTTATTAAAAATAACTATTTACGGACGTAACTACGCCATCTAAGAACAAAAAGAGAAATCATACGATTTCTACCTGGTGAAATCGAATTCAAATATAAGCCGCCGTGCTCCCTAAAACTTGCGAAGCAAACAGCTTGATGAATGAATGGGCAAGGGAGTCTAAAAATTGCACTCCAAATGCCGTTCATGGCCTATATTCGTAGTGAATTCGATTTCTGGTACTCCAAATGAAGTAAATAAACAAAACAAAATGACGGTATTAGATTTTGATTTGATACAGAGCAGCAACAAGCCGCATATACGTATTTCGATCTCTTTAGATCTCCTCAGTACGGTATAGTTACTACTCCATATTAAACCAAAATATTTTCCCGTCGTAGATTATAGTTATTAAAAATAACTATTTACGGACGTAACTACGCCATCTAAGAACAAAAAGAGAAATCATACGATTTCTACCTGGCGAAATTGAATTCAAATATAAGCCGCCGTGCTCCCTAAAACTTGCGAAGCAAACAGCGTGATGAATGAATGGGCAAGGGAGTCTAAAAATTGCACTCCAAATGCCGTTCATGGCCTATATTCGTAGTGAATTCGATTTCTGGTACTCCAAATGAAGTAAATAAACAAAACAAAATGACGGTATTAGATTTTGATTTGATACAGAGCAACAACAAGCCGCATATACGTATTTCGATCTCTTTAGATCTCCTCAGTACGGTATAGTTACTACTCCATATCAAACCAAAATATTTTCCCGTCGTAGATTATAGTTATTAAAAATAACTATTTACGGACGTAACTACGCCATCTAAGAACAAAAAGAGAAATCATACGATTTCTACCTGGCGAAATTGAATTCAAATATAAGCCGCCGTGCTCCCTAAAACTTGCGAAGCAAACAGCTTGATGAATGAATCGGCAAGGGAGTCTAACAATTGCACTCCAAATTCCGTTCATGGCCTATATTCGTAGTGAATTCGATTTCTGGTACTCCAAATGAAGTAAATAAACAAAACAAAATGACGGTATTAGATTTTGATTTGATACAGAGCAGCAACAAGCCGCATATACGTATTTCGATCTCTTTAGATCTCCTCAGTACGGTATAGTTACTACTCCATATCAAACCAAAATATTTTCCCGTCGTAGATTATAGTTATTAAAAATAACTATTTACGGACGTAACTACGCCATCTAAGAACAAAAAGAGAAATCATACGATTTCTACCTGGCGAAATTGAATTCAAATATAAGCCGTCGTGCTCCCTAAAACTTGCGAAGCAAACAGCTTGATGAATGAATCGGCAAGGGAGTCCAAAAATTGCACTCCAAACGCCGTTCATGGCCTATATTCGTAGTGAATTCGATTTCTGGTACTCCAAATAAAGTAAATAAACAAAACAAAATGACGGTATTAGATTCTGATTTGATACAGAGCAGCAACAAGCCGCATATACGTATTTCGATCTCTTTAGATCTCCTCAGTACGGTATAGCTACTACTCCATATCAAACCAAAATATTTTCCCGTCGTAGATTATAGTTATTAAAAATAACTATTTACGGACGTAACTACGCCATCTAAGAACAAAAATAGAAATCATACGATTTCTACCTGGCGAAATCGAATTCAAATATAAGCCGCCGTGCTCCCTAAAACTTGCGAAGCAAACAGCTTGATGAATGAATCGGCAAGGGAGTCTAAAAATTGTACTCCAAATGCCGTTCATGGCCTATATTCCTAGTGAATTCGATTTCTGGTACTCCAAATGAAGTAAATAAACAAAACCAAATGACGGTATTAGATTTTGATTTGATACAGAGCAGCAACAAGCCGCATATACGTATTTCGATCTCTTTAGATCTCCTCAGTACGGTATAGTTACTACTCCATATCAAACCAAAATATTTTCCCGTCGTAGATTATAGTTATTAAAAATAACTATTTACGGACGTAACTACGCCATCTAAGAACAAAAAGAGAAATCATACGATTTCTACCTGGCGAAATTGAATTCAAATATAAGCCGTCGTGCTCCCTAAAACTTGCGAAGCAAACAGCTTGATGAATGAATCGGCAAGGGAGTCCAAAAATTGCACTCCAAACGCCGTTCATGGCCTATATTCGTAGTGAATTCGATTTCTGGTACTCCAAATAAAGTAAATAAACAAAACAAAATGACGGTATTAGATTCTGATTTGATACAGAGCAGCAACAAGCCGCATATACGTATTTCGATCTCTTTAGATCTCCTCAGTACGGTATAGCTACTACTCCATATCAAACCAAAATATTTTCCCGTCGTAGATTATAGTTATTAAAAATAACTATTTACGGACGTAACTACGCCATCTAAGAACAAAAATAGAAATCATACGATTTCTACCTGGCGAAATCGAATTCAAATATAAGCCGCCGTGCTCCCTAAAACTTGCGAAGCAAACAGCTTGATGAATGAATCGGCAAGGGAGTCTAAAAATTGTACTCCAAATGCCGTTCATGGCCTATATTCCTAGTGAATTCGATTTCTGATACTCCAAATGAAGTAAATAAACAAAACCAAATGACGGTATTAGATTTTGATTTGATACAGAGCAGCAACAAGCCGCATATACGTATTTCGATCTCTTTAGATCTCCTCAGTACGGTATAGTTACTACTCCATATCAAACCAAAATATTTTCCCGTCGTAGATTATAGTTATTAAAAATAACTATTTACGGACGTAACTACGCCATCTACGAACAAATATAGGCCATGATGAACGGCATTTGGAGTGCAATTTTTAGACTCCCTTGCCGATTCATTCATTAAGCTGTTTGCTTCGCAAGTTTTAGGGAGCACGGCGGCTTATATTTGAATTCGATTTCGCCAGGTAGAAATCGTATGATTTCTCTTTTTATTCAATCAAGCTTTGGAAGACGTTATGAAGAAAGTACAATGTAAAAAACGGGGTATTAACATAAATGGCCAATACTTAAATCACTTGAGATATGCAGACGACATTGTATTAATAACAGATAAAAATAAAGAATTACAAAATATGATGGATGAATTAAATAGTGAATTAATAAAAATACGTCTACAAATAAATTATAATAAAACCAAAAATATGACCACCCAGAACAATTATTAATTACAATTGCACAAACAAATAGAACAAGTAAAAAATTATGTATATTTGGACAACTAGTTAAATTAAATAAAGAAAATCAGACCGGAGAAATAAGCAGAAGGATACGGTTGGCTTGGGTATCCTTCGGAAAACTTTCCTATATACTAAAAATAGAAAATAACCCCAATATTTAAAAACAAGAATCTTCGACCAATGTATACTTCCTAGAATAATGCCGTGAGAATTCTCTCTCCTGATGCCGACTGTAATTTAGCTTCCTCTATTTTAAAAATTTTAAACTGTTTGTCCTTGTGTAGTGTAGTGTAATGTACAATTTTATGTTTATGACATTCTATGATTGTTAGATAGGCCAAAATTGACGAAATACCCCTGAAGATGCTCTAGGAAGCGAAAGTACTTGGGCAAGATTTAATTAATAAACTATGCTCGATATTTGCCTTTCATTTGATCAAAGTTAATTTATTCGAGCATTCAACCTTATATCAGTCTACGATACTTTTCTGTCTAATGGACAACCTTTTCCGATAAATGCAAAGCACCTGTCTGTTGTTTTATAGTAATAAAGTTAATACATAATACATAGTTTTTTGTGGGGCGTCACTGCTCAGACAAAATAGTGCTATCTCCCCTAGAAATTGTCCATACAAGCTTTAAATTTGGCTGTAATATAATATATAATATTGTTTTAAATTTTAAATATTAGTTTTCAGCAAAATTAGACAAAATTATCCAAATCAACAACAAAGTTAATTTAATAATTTATATCGAATCGGCCAAAGCATTTACAAACTTGACAGAAATATGTAAAACTGCTACAGAGTTATCGGCAAAGTCAAAGTTTGTACCAAACTCATTGGTATTTGGAAGCGATGATTTCTGTGCTAGTATAGGTAATGTTATTTTTTATTTTTCTCTTAATTTAATTGCAGGTCATCAACGAGTAATTTCTGTCTCTCTAATTCCAAATATTCCAAATAACCAATTGTCCAAAAATTCCAAACAACTAAATAATCGAAAATTAAAGAAAAAAATAATAAATCGTAACACCTTAGTTCTCTTGTGTAACTTGAGCAGTTGCATGTTCCTTTTTGCTCTAAATGCAATTAGAACGCTCTAAAAGCCCTAAAAAGGCGTCATTAAAAACATTATATAGCTACGAGAGAAAAAATTTTACAGCTGTTGATAACGTAATGAAAGTTTTATAAATATTTCTGTATTACAAATAGTATTTTTCCCAATGTAGGTGCCACCAGAACTGAAGATGCAATAGAAGTCCTCTGTGCAAGACAGATGTTGGTGTTGAACGCCAAAGCTTTTCATTTACAAGCCATAGACATGGTGTACATAAACTATAAAGGTAAAGTATATCAATTTTCAAGTTTATGCTAAGTTTAAAATCGTAGCAATCGTAATACTAAAAGTATTTTAGTGATTCAATTATTTTCGTTCCCTCAGACTTTCTTGTATTAGCGCAGTTTTTTCTTCTTCGTGCTTTATTATGTCCAGTTTTGGATATACAACTTCCTTTGTCTCTTCTCAATTGTCATTAAATTTTCTCAATTGACGTTTCTCAAAGAGTAAATTCTTTCCTAGACTCAATTGTACCTCATTTTTTATTTAAAAATACAAAACCTTTAATCTTTCCTTTTCAGAGAGGAAAATTATCCATCTTGTGACTTTGTAAAAGGAGCTTATTGGTCTTTTCCATTCCCAAAAGACTCGTTCAATCGACACTTCGTTTAGTGTGAGCAATGACTTTCTCGGTTTATATATCTCAAAGAGATATCTTCCTAGACACAATTGTGGCTCATTCTCCATCAAAAAACTAAAAAAATTACATTTTCTTTTCATAGATGCAAATAATCCATCTATTGATTTATTACAGGCATCTTATTTGTCTATTTTATATCCACAAGGTACCCTGTCGCTTAGTGTGAGCAATTACTTTTCCCATTTACGTTTCTTAAATAGTAAATTCGTTCTAGATACAATTGTAACTCATCCTCCAACAAGAGATTCAAAATTTTCTTTTTATAGAGGAAAATTATCCATATTTTGACCTAAAAAAAGTGATCTTATTAGTTTATTTCTTACCCAAAAGGTATCCGTTGGCCTTTTGTGAGATTTTAAAGAATCCTGGCACACTTTATACCTTTTCTCAAAATTTGAATGTACCGTTATGGCGCATCCGTCTTCCTACCTGGACCTGACACATTCGTGTTCAAACTTTTTACTAAATTCGTGAAGTTAAGAAAGCAGTGGAGACAAAGTGGCGAAGGCTACCATCACTTAATCGACTGGAAAAATGGTGGTACATATTTTGAATAGAAAATATGATGCTGTCGATTGCGATTTAAAAAAAATCACTGGTTTTTCTCACAAAATAATTCTCTACGATCAAGACAACCTTGCCGCTTATAAGGCAAATGTTGCACAGCAAAATTATACGAATTGAAGTACGAATTGATCGACCATCTACTGTATTTGTCAGATTTAGCCCTCTGTGACTTTTCTATTCCCAAAAATACCTCAAATAAGACATATCTGAAACTTCACACTATCTTGTGCAAAATTACTTTTCGTTGACTATAGAAAAGGTCCTTTCATTTACTGATTCAAGATTGATATCAAACTACTATCATAGTTCTTGTATAATACAATTTTTTCTGTTATAAAAGTATTTCTCGATATTTATTTCAGATTTGGATGGATTGAAACGTCAAAGCGAACAGGGCATGCGTATGGGATATACGGGCAAACAGGTTATCCATCCAGGTCAAATACAAGTTGTTCAGGAAGCCTTCTTGCCTAGTGCAGATAAGATAGAGTGGGCTCGAGGTCTTCTGCATGCATTTAAAGAACATCAAGCAACAGGAAAGGTACGGTATATATATATATATATATATATATATATATATATATATATATATATATATATATATTATATTATATATATATATATATAGATTTAAAGTATTAATCCGCGTATTCTCATTATTTACCAGATTTGGCACTCTGTGACTTATTATTTATTCCTAAATATATGAAAAGTTGATATTCTTGGATAATAAAATAATACAGATAATATTTTATTACTGTTAGGTCAAGGACTTTTTATCCCTCATGGCCTCATACACATATATTTAAACACGAATACAAAATTTACGCAATAAGTCATTTTTATACTTTAGCCAAACACAGATTGGACATAAAACAAAAATTATTTTATCCTAAAAGTAAGAAATAATATTTAGTAGGGTAAAGTGTGTAAATCGCGGTCACCTAAGAAGAAAATTTAATATAAAAAAAGTAAAACTCTGTGAATCAAATTTAAGCCGTCAATCCGTAATTTGGGGTTTTAACTTATTGCAAGATACATTTAATTTCAAAAATATAAAATTTTTGTCTTTGACAGAGACAAAACATAAAAAAGTATCTTTGACCGGTATTGTCACCATACATGGACAATACCGGTCATGCGTGTGGGTAATGCCAGTCAATTTGTTTGTGTTATTATTAAAATAAAAATCAATATCTATTTAACATTTTTTTTTTATAAAACGATTAACGAATGTGGCTTAATGGGTCATAATTCAAGTAAATCAGTAAGAAAGGTGAAAAAATATTTTTTATTACAAAACAAACAAAAAATAACAAAAATATGTGTTTTAATGTAAAAATAGTTGACAGTCATCGCAGGTATAACTCTCTGCAGAATCCCATCCACTGCACTCTGAATAAGCCCATCGTGAGCAAACGGTAAATATATACCACAATTCATTGTTTTTGCCAAACTCGCTGTAAACCAGGCATCTATCTTCGTATGCATCGTCACTGTTATCACATGATATATCAATATCCGATTCCAAAGAATTAGAATCAAACACCTTTTTCTTGTAATGCCAATTACAAGAAAAAGGTGTTTTATTACAAAAAAAATTATCTTGTAAACCCAAATGCTTATTTTCTCAGTTCTATTGCTGTTACGCTATAAAAAATTAAGCTAAATATTTTTTTGTGTGTGGCTATTTTAGCTTCTTGTTCGGCAGAAAATACTGATTTTCTACCTAATGAGACACCTTGAAGATTTTTATTTTTTATTCTTTCTTGCAATGTCGAAAAATGAATGGATTAATCCCTAAGGATTAATAGTATAGGGTATAAATTATAGCATGGGGGTAATACCGGTCAACTGACCGGCATTGCCTCCTGTTGCCATTTTTTTCTTAGAATTTTTTACTCGTAAATATGTATTAAAATATTGATCTTTAAAAAAGGAATAGGCAGCTAACGTCATTATAATCAATTGTAACCAATTTTAAGATCTACAAGTGAATAAAAATGAATTAAGACCTTATATTACTCAGCATAAAAATAAGATCGAAAACACTGAAAACAGGTTAATAATATTTCTATGACAATGGTTTGCGCCAACTCAACGCTCGTCAGCAATCTGAATACAGAGTAGTGTAGCGACACGTTGGCAGTTATAGGAGGTTGCCAGATTGAATAGATTTCGCACAATCGGGATGACCGCCATTACCCACTGACCGGTATTTGCACAGTTTACCCTAATGGTGAAAAGTAGACAACTACAGATGAGTGCAAAATAATTGACTCAAAATTATTTTGTGAAAGTACGTCTCCTGTATCAATTTAAAAATAATTATTGTGCATATATTACCTCATTATTGAGTTTAAAAAAAAAATTTGTTTTTGGTTATTCCGTTGATTGAATAATTCAATCAACGGTTATTCGGATGACGTATTACAAATAAATATTGGAGCATATAGAGAGTGAGTCAGAATTTGACTCATTGAAATCGACGCGCACCGAATTAATGCCTTCGGTTAACATCGTACGCATCAATTTCCATAACAACCTACTAATCCATCAGTCACTTAAATTCGCAATTGCATTACAAATGGATACCACATCCGTTAAAGCAGCTGAAGCAGTAGCATTATTGATAGAAGGCCTGAGCCAGAGGGCCGTGACAAATCGACTAAATTTAGCCAATCTGCTGTGTTCCGAGGGTATCGTCGATACCAAGATACTTTTGATTATGTCCGCTGACAAGGAGGAGGCCGTAAACGAATAACAACGAAGAGAGATGATCGATTTTATGTATCGAAATCCCTTTGAAATCAACATTTGACTGGTGCTAATCTCAAAAAAGAGCTTAGAGAAGTCCTAGGTGTGATTATCAGCGTTTGGAAGATTTCAGAAGAAGTCTGAAGGTAGCCAACCTGACACCAAAAAGGGCAGCTACGGGTTCCAAGCTAACTGCAGCCCAGAAACAAAGGCGATTAGAATTTTCTCGTGAACATCTGGATTGGAATGACTCTCAATGGAGTCAGGTATTATTTTCCGACGAAATTATGATCTGTCTACATGGCAACGATAAGAGGTGTCGAGTCTATAGAACGCCAGGAGAGCGATTTGCTTAATATTGTATACGAGAAATTGTGTCATATGGAGGCGGATCTTGTATGTTTTGGACAGGCATTTCCATGGATAGGAAAACCGAGTTGGTTTTCGTGCCTGGTGGAGTACGTGGAGGAGGTTTAACGGCGAATCGTTATATCAGAGACATTTTGGAGGAAAATGTAGTTTCATATGCGGGATTTATTGGTGATTCTTTTATTTTAATGCACGATGCCATACCACCTATCTGACTGAGATCTGTGTACCTATAATAAATTGGCCTGCATTGAGTTTGGACATAAATCCAATAGAGCATGTTTGGGATGAGCTTATGCACCAAGAAACATAATGAAATTGAGAGCTGCGCTTAATGATGAATGGGAAGTAATGCCTCAATAATTTATTAGAAAAGTCATCCGATCCATGCGAAATTGATTGGAAAGTGTAATTAAGACAGGAGTGGTAATATCAAATACCGAAAACTAAAGAAATTCGTTTTGTAATTGATGATTTCTCTGTTCATAACGTCTTTTTTGAGTTAGTTCCAATGATGAATATTTAGGAAACTCTTTTCGTATTACATATTGTTTATATAATGTGTCTACAAATTAATGCAATAGCAGATTTTTATTTTCATACTTCTTACATTGAAACAGAAGGTGTAGTCTCAAATATCGCTTTTGAGTCGATTTTTTTGCACTCAAGTGTATATATTGTATAAATCTCCAGCAGATGGAATAGAAGGACGCATCACAAGAAATCAAATCGATTTCATAATGATCAACAAAAGATACAAAAACGCAGTAAAAGCATGCAAGACATACCCCGGAGCTGACATCCCCACCGACCACAATCTTCTTGCAACAATTAGGATGGAATTTAAAAGAACAAAAAGAAATAAGCAAATAATAGCTATTAACCCAGATAAGCTTAAAGAAGAGTCCACTAGTAAGAAAATACGGGAAGAAATACATAGACACTTGAGTAAGAAAACAGTACAATCGACACAAACTCCCGAGGAAGACTGGCACTATATTGAGAAAACACTTACAAGAGTAACAGAAGACTACCTCAAACAAGATACACGAAAAAAGAACAAACCATGGATGACAGAAGAAATTCTTAACATGGTGGACGAAAGAAGAAAATACAGAGGTAAAAATGAAACAACATACAAGCAAATACACAAGAATATCAGAATAAAGATCCAACATGCCAAAGAAACCTGGCTAAGTGAAAGATACCAAAAAATTGAAGAGTGGGAACAAAGACATGATACTTTCAATCTACATAAAAAAGTAAAAGAAGCCACTGGAATATTTAAACAAACTCCTACGTCTTTCATCGAAGATAAACATGGGAACCCGCTACTGAACATAGAAGATCAAATAGGTAGATGGAGAGAATACGTGGAAGAGATGTTTCAAGACCGAGAGAGGACGAACATTTACATGCAGGAGGCATCGACTGGACCTTATATCACAAAGCAAGAAATTATCAAAGCGGCAAATCAGATAAAGAACGGCAAAGCTGTTGGGGAAGATAATATCTCAACTGAAATAATAAAGATATTACTAGACGAACACATCGAAGTAATGGAAGATATATTTAACAAAATATACGAAACAGGCATAATACCAAATGATTGGCTGACATCGGTGTTTATACCACTGCCAAAGAAGAAAAACTCCAAGAAATGTGAAGACCATAGGATTATTAGCCTGATGAATCATATATTGAAACTTTTCCTACGAGTAATACACAATAGAGTATACAATAAACTAGACGAACACACTGGTCAAACTCAGTTTGGTTTTAAGAATGGGTTCGGAACAAGAGAAGCACTTTTTTCAATACGTGTGCTAGTTGAAAGATGTAGAGATGTCGATTCTGATGTATACTTGTGTTTTATAGACTTTCAGAAGGCGTTTGACCTGGTGAAACATGATAAACTAATAGATATTTTAAGGTCATGTAATATCGACGATAAAGACTTAAGAATAATTTCAAACCTCTACCAAGAACAAAAGGCTAAAATCAGAATAAAAAGCGAAACATCTGGAAAAATCAATATCGAGAAGGGAGTAAGACAGGGATGTGTCCTATCACCTTTGCTGTTCAATGTTTACTCTGAGAAGATATTTCAGAAAGCTTTGGAAGGCACCTCGGATGATATAATTATAAACGGGCAATGTATAAATAACCTGCGATATGCTGATGACACTGTCATACTGGCAAATAATGCTGAAGCCCTGCAACGCTTAATGGACCGAGTAACGACAGCCTGTAGAGAATTTGGAATAAAATTGAACACAAAGAAGACAAAAACGATGGTCATCAGCAAGCACCAAAACAGAAGGGTGAAGGTCAATGTCGACGGAACAGATCTGGAAAGAGTAACAAGAACAACGTACCTTGGAAGTAATCTTGATGAAACTTGGGACCACTCACTAGAGATAAGAATACGCCTGGAAAAGGCACATACAATGTTTTACAAAATGCAAAAAGTTCTATGCAACCGCCAGCTGGGCATCTCATTGAGAACTAGAATACTTAAGTGCTATGTTTTCTCCACCTTGCTCTATGGTGTTGAAGCCTGGACAATGACAGAAGCAACACAAAAAATAATCCAAGCATTCGAACTCTGGTGTTACCGTAAAATGCTCAGAATATCCTACATGAGCCATACGACAAATGCGGAAGTCTTGCGGAGGATGAATAAGGAAAGAGAGCTTATGCTTATAATAAAAGAACGGAAAACACAATATTTTGGTCACATCATAAGAAATCAAAAGTATGAACTGCTCCAACTTATAATCGAAGGCAAAGTCAATAGCAAAAGAGGACCAGGAAGAAGACGCAACTCTTGGCTTAAAAACCTGCGGCAATGGACGAACATGACCTCCATAGAACTATTCAGGGCTGCTACAAATAAGATTAAATGGGCAAATGTAATGGCCAACGTCCTTAAGGATAAGGCACCGTAAGAAGAAGAAGTATATATTGTGAGCTGGTGGTCTATTGGTCCAATAATCGTCAAATTTTGTATTTATCTTTGCATATTATTATGTTCTATACCATTATTTTCTATTAATTGTAGTGGTATTTGTAGTATTTTCCATTGATGCAAACACAATAAGCGAAACATTTCATTTGTGACAGCACCATTAATTTTTTAACTTATCTTTGTATATTCCAATTATTCTAAGTTAGATTTATATTTTTAGGGGGCTTTCACTTACAGGGGAAGTATGATAGATATGCCAACCATGAAGCAAGCTCAGAACGTTATAGACTTAGTGAATTCCACCAAAAAATAAAGGAATCTACCTTAAGATGATGTGGCATTCAAAAAAAAAGACTGATAGCTTAGTTATTATTTTTAAACACTTACTTTTTAATGATTTGGTTGTGTACGTTGACGTTTTATATGCCGGAAAATAAAATTGAAGGCGTATATTCACAGGACATTACTGTAGTTTAAATGTACTAAAACAGATTTCTTTTATTGACGATATGTATTTGATTTAGAGGTGGGTATATTCTAAAAGAACCGATATGTAGGAACTCAGCATAGGAGGAATCAAAGGAACCGGTTCGATGATTGCAGGTGTTTAATTAAAACATATCCCAAGGACAGTGGCCTTGATCAAGCTGCTCATTTGATATTTATACTCCGACAAGAAATGCAAATTACCGTTGCCAAACTAGAGATGTTGTTAGTTAGAGGTGAACAGTTCTAAACCTGCCGTTATTTAAGAATGCCACAAAAACTTGAATCAAATGACCCGAATTCAACCGTTACAATATTCTATAAAGTTTGTATTTATCAGTTTGGGCCCCGATTTGTAACTTTCCTTTATTTTCTCACCTGATATTTAATATATACGATTAATTTTGAGGACGAATATGCCTAAGTGAATCTTCTTTTAAAAGTAATTTTGGATTTGTGACAAACTTATAGTCAGATTTTTAAATGATACCGTTATATTGACATAAAATATTCAATTGTTCAAAAAGTATGCGTTATTATTTGCATTTTTGCCTTCTTCTTCTTAACATGCCATACACCAAAGTGTGTAGGCGACTATCTCATTACTAGAATTCTGTTCTTGGCGGCGTGACACAGCTCGCCTGTATTGTGTATTCCTGTCCATTCATTAATATTCCTTAACCAGGATAATTGTTTGCGGCCGGTTCCCCTCCTACCTTCGATCTTCCCTTGTAGGATTAACTGTGGTATTTCAATTAATTCAAAGAGTTCTCTTTCTACGCCGGCTCTCTTAAGGACGTCATCGTTTCGAACTCTATCCACCCAAGGTATGCGCATCATTCTTCTCAATGACCACATTTCAAATGCTTCAAGTTTGTTGATAGATGTTTTTTTTTAAGTCCACGTTTCCATGGCATAAAGCAAGATGGACCATATGTATCACTTGACCATTCTGTAGCGTATTTCGAAATTTAGGTTTTGATTACATAGGAGCGGTCTGAATTTCACAAAAGCTTGTCTTGCCATTTGTATTCGGGTTTTTATCTCGTATTGTGGATCTGATTGGTCATTGATTGTGGTGCCAAGGTATTTAAAAGTTTTCACGCGCTTTATACGATCGTCACCTATGCATATTATCGGATTTTCTGGAGGGTTTCTGCTAATGACCATATATTTCGTTTTCAAAATGTTGATTTTGAGGCCATATTATTTACCTATGCTATTTATTCACCCTATCAAGTAATAACTGCTGATCTTCCAAATGATCAGTTATAATCACTGTGTCGTCCGCATAGCGTAGGTTGCTAATTGGTATGCCGTTCACCTTCATGCCTAATTCCGTGTCTTCCAATGCTTCCGCAAATATATTTTCAACATATAAATTAAAAAGCTTCGGAGAGAGTATGCAGCCTTGGCGGACACCTTTCCGGATTTCAAATTCATCCGTATATTGGTCTTGATCAATCCTCAGCTTTGCCATTTGGTTCCAGTATAGATTCTGAATAATTCTGATCTCCTTCTGGTCAATGTTGGCCCTATGTAGTAGTTCCATCATGATATCATGTTTAACATTGTCAAATGCCTTCTCGTAGTCGATGAAGGTGAGGTAGACATCTTTTCGTTGATCTAAGCAGTTTTGTATTAAGGTGTTCAAACATAAAATTGCCTCTCTTGTTCCTAGTCCTCCCTTAAAACCGAATTGTGTTGACCCGCTAAGTTCTTCTTAAGTATCTTGTACATTCTTGAGTGTAATATCCTAAGGAAGAGTTTCAGCAAGTGACTCATTAAACTGATTAAGCGGTGTTCATTGAATTTTGTGGCATTAGCTGTTTTTGGGATCATCACAAAGGATGACTGCAGCCATTCTCGCGGAATGTAACCAGTATCATTAATTCTATTGAACAGCCTTACCAAGATTTCGATATACTCCTCGTCTAATAGTTTTATTGCTTCTATATTAATTTCATCTGGACCTGTTGCTTTATGCATCTTTGTGGTTCTAACTGCATATTCTATTTCACTTCGCATTATTGATGGCCCTTATAAGTTTTCGGAGGGAAGTTTGCGCGGTGGTTGTGTTGGTCTTTTGTCATTAAAAAGTCTTTCTGCGTATTCTTTCCACGCCATTGCTATCTCCTCTTCTGACTATGTATTCGTTTCTGTCGTTGCGTATTCTTGTTCTGTGATGGCTTTTGTGTATATTCGATATTTCTTTGATCTTCTTATGTAGTTCAAAACTATCTCCTTTTTCCTGCAATTGTTCTATTTCGTTGCACCTTTCCACCATCAAACGTTCTTTTGCTTTCCTAATTTTCTGGCGAATTTCTTTGTGTATATGTTTGTATTTGTCTTGATTACGTTGTTGTTTATGTTGCCTTCGCTTTTCCATTAAATCCATAATTTCGTCCGTCATCCATTCGTTATGCTTTCTTTTTCTGATCTGTGTTTTAAATTCCCTGTTTACTGCCAGAATCGTTCCTTTAATATCATTGACCATCTCTTCGATATCATCATTTTGTTCTATTACTCACATTCTTTCATTAATTTGATTCACATAACTCTTCTTCAGATTTTCGTCTCTCATCAGTTCTCTTGTATTTATAGGCGTGCTGGTGTTTGTATTTGTTCTCTTAATTTTTGCTAGTTTTAACCTCACATCTGCTATTAGCGGATTATGATCGGATGCAATATCAGTACCTGGATATGCTGCGATTCTTTTGATAGCGTTACGAAATCTTCTGTCTATTAAGACGTAGTCAATTTGGTTTCTAATTATTCGGTTTGGACCGTCTCCTGGTGATCTCCAAGTATATAACTTACGAGGTGGGAGCTGAAACCATGTGTTCATGACGACAAAACCGTTCTCCTGGCAGAATTCACACAGCAGGTCGCCTCTTTCATTTCTAACTCCAACGCCGTACTCTCCAATTATGTCTTCATATCTTCCTTCCTTCCTTCATTTTTGCCTACTTAATTCGAATATTCGGTTCCAAATAGTGAATAAATATCACGACAACGAAGCATCATACGGAACGATCGGTCATTTGGGATTTCGTATAATGATTGATATTCATTATATTTGTCTCGAGGTATTCTAATAGGTAACCGCTAGTGTTGGTTTGGGAATCAGTAACGTGATCGAATTGAAAGATTTGGTACCATATATAGCGATTCAATACTGTGGGGACGAATCTTCATACTAAACTATTTGGTTCATGTATATTATTACTTCATACACCCTCAGTCTACCCAAGAAACATGTTTGTTCTACTGATGACAGTGAGATATAGAGGTGTGGTAATTATTTAGAATTGTTACCTTGGAACTTATCAATATATATCAATATATCAATATGAATGAAAGGAACTGATTTCAATGACTTCCTTGATTTTCAAGGATTGCTATTATAATACAAACTGAAGATATTTCACTTGGTAATCTGTAGTGTTGGTTTGTTAACTGATAGAGAGATTCGGGATCAAGTAGTGATCCCTACTACGATAACGAATCATCAAATAGAAAGAATTAGCCCACCTTGACTATTATTGACTATTGTTAAATACTACATATTGTTATTATTGTTTTTGATCTATATCTAGCTTGAAACGAGCTTAGTAAATATTACTTCAGTTAAAACTATACAAACAATAATTTTCTTTACATTTCATTGTGGCGTTTCAATTATAGTAACGTATGGTGAATAGAACATAGAAACATATATTTGTAGGTATTTAATGCTAATTAGTTAAGTTATATTTTTTTAAATAAAAATTGACGACTTAGTAGAGTATTTATTTATAGAACCTCAAGACAATAACACTCTTGTAATTTTCGTGTGTTTATGAAATTCGCTATGGCGATTCTCCCTCAGTCTATTTAATATAATTTTTTGTTTTATTGATTGACAGTGTGATTTACGAGATGAGGAAATCGAATTAAATGAACTAGGATTGATGATTTAAACATTTTGAGAACATATGATATTTGGTATATTTTTATAACACGAACTGAAGATATTTAACTCTGTAATGTATTGTAATATATATGTAAAATTGTTCGAATTGAAATTTTCAAAACGGCGATTGAATACTACGGGAATGGATCATCAAACGGAATGACTGGACTCAACTCTAATATGACTTTTTGCACAGTTCACGTAATACAAATTCTTGTTTTATTGATGACAGTGTGAAGCTATTTCATTCGGTAATCTACCTATAGTGTTCATTTGAGAACTAAAAAAGTGTCTTTTGAATTGAAAGAACTCTAATATGGAATGACTGGACTTAACTCTAATATGGCTTTCTGCACAGTTTGCTTAATACAAATTCTTGTTCTATTGATGATAGTGTAATTTAGAGATGAGGAAATGGTATTCAATGAACTAGGACTGATGATTTAAACATTTTCAGAACATAGGTAATCGAAAAGTGTTCGAAGGTTCGAATTAAAAGATTCAAAACGGTGCGGCGATTGAATACTACGGGAACGGATCATCGAAAGGAATGACTCAACTCTAAAATGACTTTCTACTACAGGTTTAGAGGTGAGGAAATCGTATTTATTGAATGAGGGAAGAGCACATTGACATGCATCACATTGAGGGAGACATAGAGTATGTAGAACAAGGCTCCAGGTATTGATGAAGTCCGGTGACGAACACCTAGTAAGACAAATGCATATGCTTATGAACAAGATTTGAATGAGAAAAGATCCCTAGCGACTAGAAAACCAGTATTATATGCCCAATCTATAATAAAGGGGTTAAACTGAAATGCGAAAATTACCGCGGCATAACACACTTGTGCACAATGTACAAAGTTATTACTTATATACAAAATAAACGACTCCAACAACGAACTGAAAATATTGTCGGGGAATATAAAACTGGTTTCCAAGAAGGAAGATCTACAACTGACCAGCTATGCAGCTATTCACAGTGAAACAAATCGTGGGAATACGACATTGACGTCCCCAACATACTCATAGATTTCAAACAGGCCTACGATTCAATAGACAAAAATTATATCAAATATTGCATAGCTTTAACGTCGCCAAAAAATAGATCCGACTAGTCAAAGGATTATAATAAGGAGACGGGCTAGCACCGACATTATTTAACCTAACTCTTGAATATGGCATAAGACAGCTGAAAATAGGAAAAGGTAATCTAACAAATAAATCAATACAGATTGCCGATGACATTAGCGTCATAAGACAAATAAACCAACACAAGCAAAAGCTAGGGGAATCAGACTCACAGTTGAATTAGAGGACGATATTTAAACTGTAGAAAGTTTCACATATCTGGGAGTTACATTAAATACGGATGGAACAGAAGAACCAGAAATTCAAAGAAGAATAGTAAAGGGAAATAAAGCTTACTTTTCACTCGCTCATATGTTTCGCTCCAAAACACACACTAGAGATCGAAAATCAGGGTCTTCTTCTTCTTCAAGTGTCGTCTCCATCAATGGAGGTTAGCGGTTATGGTGGCAAACGTTTGTCTATCTTCAGCTGCTCTTAAGAGTTCCTCAAGTCCAAGTCCTGTCCAGTTTCTGATATTACGTAACCAGGACAATTTTTTTCTTCCAATTCCTCGCTTTCCTTCTATTTTGCCTTTTATTATCAACTGAGGGATGTAGTATTTCTCGTTGCGCAACAAATGCCCTAAATAACTGGTTTTTCTTCTTTTGACTGTTCTCAATAGTTCTTTTTCTACATTGAGTCTAGCTAGTACTTCTTCGTTTGTTTTTCGTGCTGTCCAAGGAATTTTTAAAATTCTACGGTACACCCACATTTCAAATGCCTCGATTCTATTCAGGCTCTTTATTTTTAAAGTCCACGTTTCGACTCCGTAGAGAAGAACAGACCAGATAAAACATTTTACAAGTTTTAATCTCAATTTAATATTTATATGTGTATCGCAGAATAGAACGCGCATCTTAAATAAACTATCCCTAGCTTGAGCAATTCTCGCTTTAATTTCTTGTTCTGGGTCCAGCTTGCAATTAATCCAACAGCCAAGGTATTTGTATTGGTTTACCTGTTCTAAAATATTCCCATTTATTTTTATAGGTAAGGGGATATTCTGTTTTCTTTGGATCACCATTACTTTTGTTTTTTTTTTTCGTTGATCTTCATTCCAAACTCTCGACAAGCATCCTTGAGGTGGTCTATAACCCCCTGTAAGTTTGTGTCTGTATCAGCCAGTAGGACAGTGTCATCTGCAATCAGGGTCTACAAAACTATTATCAGACCAATAGCATGTTATGAAGGAACAAAATCAATACAAATAAATAGAGGCGTGAGACAGGGTGATACAATATCACCGAAACTTTTCAATCGGGCTCTTGAAGATACTTTTAAAAGATTAGAATGGGAAGAAAAAGGTATAAACATTTGTGGACAACGCTTGAACCATCAAAGGTACGCTGATGATATCGTATTGATAACTGATAAAAAGAAGAATTATTTGAAATGATGAAAGAACTGGACGTAGAAGCTGGAAAGATAGGCTTTAATATGAATTACAGCAAGACCAAAACCATAATAAATACAGATGAAGACATCACAATGAGAATCGGACGGATATATATATATATATATATATATATATATATATATATATATATATATATATATATATATATATATATATATATATAATATAATAAATATATATATATATATATATATATATATATATAAATAATATATTATGAAATAACAGTACAGGAAGTCGAGAATGCAATACGAAATCTAAAAAATCGGAAGTCATGCGGACCACAAGGTATACCAAATGAATTATTAAAACATAGCCCACAAGTATTACGGGAATTACTGGCGTATGTCTTCACCTTATTCTATAATGGACACGACTTACCACCGGAGTGGACAAAAGCACATATTAACAACATATACAAAAAAGGAGATAGAAAGAATTGTTCAAACTATAGGGGGCTAAGTGTCATAAATTCACTCTCAAGACTGTATGGAAAAATAATAAAAAATAAAATTGAAAAAGAGATGACAGATGTAGAAGAACAGAATGGCTTTCGTGCAGGCAGATCCTGCATGGACAGTATATTCTCTCTAAAGCAAGTTATCGAAAAAAGATTAGCCCACAACCTTTCAACTCATATAGTCTTTATAGATCTGACAAAGGCATACGATAGTGTACCACTTTCAATGCTTTGGGTAGCAATGGAAAAACAAGGAATAAGCAAAAAAAATATACAAGCAGTACAACAGCTCTACAAAAATATGACGGCAAACATTAAAACTGGAAATAGATTAACTAGAGAAATTCCTATTAGTAAGGGCCTAAAGCAAGGCTGCTGCATAGCACCTAAACTCTTCAAAATATATCTAAATGAGGCACTCTCACTGTGGAGAAGAAAGTGCTGCAATATGGGCATCCCAATCGGAGATGATAGATTGTACACGATACATTTCGCTGATGACCAAGCCATTCTAGCTGAAGACGAGAGTGATATAAGCTACATGCTTAGAAAACTGGAAGATGAGTACACCAAATGGGGCCTCACAATTAATATACAAAAAACTGAGTACTTAGTTGTAGGAGAACAACCAGAAAGCCTACAAATAGAAATGGGAACTATAAAACCAACAGACAATTTTAAGTACTTGGGAGTCCAAATAACATCAAAAGCAGGAAGTAGCGAAGAAATACATTCCAGGATTGGCCAAGCAAGATCAGCCACCAGACAGCTACACGGACTATTATGGAATAAAAAAATAACAAAAGAAAATAAAAGAAGAATTTATCAAACAATAATAGAAAGTATTGGACTGTATGGCGCCGAACTCTGGGAAATAAACCAAAGAAACAAATCAAGAATTAAGGCCATGGAAATGAACTACTGGAGACGATGTTGCCAGCTCACTAGACTAGATAGGGTGAGAAACGAAGATATTCGAAGAGAAATGGAAATCGATCTTGACATAATAGACACAATCGAAGCCAAAAGACTTAACTGGTATGGACACCTTCAGAGAATGCCGGAAAATAGATGGCCAAAAAAAAATAGAAGAATGGACTCCGCCCACTAGAAGAAAACGAGGTAGACCAAGACGATCCTGGAGAGACGATGTCGACGATGCAATGACCGCCAGAGATCTAACAACTGAAGATTACTTCGACAGAAAAACGCTGGAAATTAGGATGCGAGAAGCGGCGCCAGCTGTAGAAGACTCGCTTGTTATATATATATATATATATATATATATATATATATATATATATATATATATATATATATATATATATATATATATATATATATAGCATCTTAAGACCAAAATATACAATCAATGCGTACTCCCTGTTCTTACTTATGGTTCCCAAACGTGGACATTTACAAAAGCAAACATGGACGAAATCATAAAAACCCAAAAAGCAATGGAAAGACAAATGTTGCACATAAGACTAATGAATAAAAAAAGAAACGAGTGGATAAGAGAGAAAAGGGATGTTAGACAAGAAGTTGCAAAATTGAAATGGAGATTTGCCGGACACAATATAAGACAAAAAGAAGACCGATGGAACAAAATTCTTATAAGTTGGAGACCGTGGGAATATAAACGAAGCAGAGGAAGGCCCCAAATGAGATGGGCAGATGATATCAAGAAGCACGTGGGCTCTAGGTGGATGACTGTAGCGACAGACAGAGAAGAATGGAAAAGGATTGGGGAGGCCTATGTCCAAAGATGGACCGAAGAAGGCTAATTAAATAGATAGCATGTTATGGATGCGA